TGTTTCTTTTTCAATAACTTTTTTTTATTATTGTCTGAAGATTTACATGTCTTTCCCCCAGTTGACCACTTAAGGGCCAACTGTATTTTCAATCTGCCTATGTATGACTAGTTGTACCCCGTTTTTCAACTGTACTTAATGTTTACATTAGGAAAGAAAAAAAAAGTTTAAAACAACAATTTCAACACCCACATCAAAAAATACAAATAGCAAAATTTAACCAAAGCAAATGGAATAGAGGATATAATAAAGAGCAGAAATTAGAAAAGAATAGTAATATGGGGAAATTAATGGTATAAAGTACAGATCCTTCAAAATGGTCAATGAAATTGATAAATGTCTAAGAAGATGGATACATTTCCAAAATCAGGAATAAAATGGGATATAAGTACAAATCCTGCTGCCATTAAAAAAATAAGAGATTACTTCAATCAGGACTACAAACAAAATAGAAAATTTAGATGAAATGCAACAATTCCTTGCGAGGACAAACTATCCGATATGAAATATATATTCTAAATTGTTCCAATACTTACCAAAACCATATAATGAGTTTAAAAGAAAAACAAGAGAACTACACATTATCACTCAAGAAATTGGAAGAAAACTTCCTCAACAAGATATATTCAAATGGAATGCTTTAATATGGTATACGAAAAGAATTATACTCCACAACCAAGTGGGTTTATTGCAAGAATGCAAGGCTGGTTCAATATTCAATACTCAGTGCAATACTGTAGTACCAACAGACTATCGAGGGGAAAAATCAGATGAACATATCAATCGATGCAGACAAAGCACTTGACAAAATCCAATACCTATTCATAACAACAATAAATCTCAGCAAATTAAGAATAGAGGGAAATGTTACAAATTTGATGAAAAACTATGAAAACAACTTAGTTAATATGGTACCTAATGACAAAAAACTGAATGTTCCGTCAAGTATCAGGAACTAGTCAAGGATGTCCTTCCTTATTATACTCTTCCTATTCAACATCATACTGAAGTCCTAGCCAGTGCAATAAGAAAAGGAAATAATAGAATAACAGGTACACAAATTGGGAAGGAAGAAATAAAACTAGTTGCAGTTGACATTTCTAAGGAAGAGAACCCGAAGGATTCTATCCAAAGAAATCACTAATAGGTGAGTTTAGCAAGGTTGCAGGCTACTAAAACAACCCCTCAAAAAAATTTACATTATTGTGTATTACCTACGATCGTGTGGAAAATTTAAATTTAAAAATCAATGCCACCATCACTGTAAAACCTAGATAAAATGCTAATGAATACTTGTAAATCAAAAGTTATTAATTAAATGTAGTCATATCATATACTTGTTCATAATGCTGATTTTCAAACCAACCTACCTTATAAATAAACTATCAAAATGAGGGTAAGAATTTTTTTTGGTACGAATAGACAAACATACCTTAAGATTTATATGAAAAGTTAAAGAAACTAGGAAAGCTAAGTCAATTTCAAATAATATCTAGAAAGGGATCACTTTACTGAATTTTAAGATTTATAGTCTAAATACAGAAGTAAAATAAATAGGAATTTAAAAAAATGTTTTATATTTTAAAACCACATAAAGAATGGTAGCTTTTTATTTTTAAAATCTAAGCCTTAATAGTCTTAAGTGGTATACCCATTCATATGTGTACCCTTAAATATTTTCCCTCAACTGTCTAACTCTCCCGACACTCGACAACAATGAATGTACACAAAACACATCAAGGATCAAGGCCTTTCCCCCGAAACAACATTCCTCTTACCCCAAGTAAACTAGGTAATCCACGACAAAGTGCTGTAGGCTTAACAGAGAAGTCTCATCGCATTTTCTCTTCTAAAAAAGAAATTCCTGAGATACACTGCAATGTAAATGAAGTCAAAGCCAGAGGTGAAGGTTTCCTTGGTGCATGCCCTGTCAGAGAAATCCTCAGGTGAGAATAAGGCTCTAGGCTGGGTCAGTTTCTAAAACGTGTCTGCATGTGACAAGTGACGATCTGCAGCCATTATCTTCCCTCACAGTGAAGATTCCTGTGGGGTGTCTCTTTGGTAGGTGCAATCCGATGCTGTGGTGGATGTTTTCTCTGGCATCAGATTTCCCTCCGTGTTTACACTCAGAAAGTCTTTCCCCAACAGAAGTTCTCGGAGAGTGAGCGCAGTCTGACCACTTGGGAAGGGCCTTTCCACTTGGGTCACACTGACAGGGTTTCTCCCAGAATGCATCCTTTGATGCTGAGTGAGGGATGAGCTACGACTGAAGGCCTTCCCACACTCACTGCACTTATAGGGCTTCTCCCCGGTGTGGATGATGGCGTGTCGGATGAGGTTGGTGCTCCAGCAGAAGGATTTACCACACTCGCTGCACTCGTAGGGCTTCTCTCCGCTGTGAATCCGCAGGTGCCTTGTGAGGCCTGACCTGCGGTTGAAGGCCTTCCCGCACTCACCGCACTCGTAGGGCTTCTCTCCGGTGTGGATGCTGAAGTGCCGAATGAGGTCTTTCCTAGTGCTGAAGGCTTTGCCGCATTCCTTACATTCAAAAGGTTTTTCCCCGGTGTGGGCCCGCTTATGCAAGATGAACGTGGAGCAGTGGGTGAAGGCCCTATCACATTCCGTGCACACAAACGGCTTCTCCCCGGTGTGGATGCGCTGGTGCCTCTTGAGGTACGACCGGTGGTTGAAGGCCTTCCCGCACTCTGTGCACTCGAAGGGCTTCTCCCCCGTGTGGATGACGTAGTGGTGGATGAGGGCCGCGCTCTCACAGAAGGTTTTCCCGCACTCGCTGCACTCGTAGGGCTTCTCCCCCGTGTGCGTCTGCTGGTGCCACATGAGGTAGGACCTGTGTTTGAAGACCTTCCCGCACTCGAAGCACTCGTAGGGGTTCTCGCTGCTGTGGACGATGTGATGTCGAAGAAATCCTGGCCTGTGTCGAAAAACTTGCCCACATTCTTTGCAGACAAAGGATTTCTCTCCAGTGTGCCTCCTCTTATGCAGGACAAAATTGGAGCGGTGGGTGAAGGCCTTCCCACATTCGTTGCACTTGTAGGGCTTCTCTCCGCTGTGAATCCGCTGGTGCTGTGTCAGGTATGACTTGCGGTTGAAGGCCTTCCCACACTCCATGCACTCATAGGGCCTTTCCCCGGTGTGGATCATGTGGTGCTGAAGGAGGTGCGTGCTCTTAATAAAGGTTTTCCCACACTCTGTGCACTCGTAGGGCTTCACTCCAGAGTGAATCTTTTCATGTCCCGCAAGAAGGTGTTTCTTGTTAAACGCTTTCCCACATTCATTGCATTTAAAGGTATTTTCCTCTTCTTGAATCATGGGATCTTTACGTAATTCATGTGAGCCGTGGTCCAGGACAGCACCTCCGGGAGGGACTAGCTCCTGCACAGTCCTCACACCCGCACCCTTGGGTGTCCTTGAGCCGCTATGGTCAGGGCTCCCAGGGAGCTTCTTCCTTGGTGGATCTACCCCTGGCCTCAAGTGTCCTTCCTGCAGGAACACTTCTGATGGGCCACGCTGGTCCCTGGTTTGGTCTCCTCGGGAGTCCCCTGGCACTTTCTGCGCCAGCTGTTCCTGGGCCGAGAATCTCTCACACGGGGTTGGCTCACAAGTGGTAGTTTCTGTGGTCTTTAATTTTTCTTTGTTACCTGAAGAAATCCAATACACAAAAAGGCCAGTTAGTAATGTCAACCCAGAAAAAACAAAAATCAGCAGTTCAGTGAAAAACATGAAAATGAAAATAGTGCCTCTGTGTCTGCTGTGCTTTGCTACCTCCGACTCCCAGGCCTGTAATCTCTCTCCTGGTCCCTGGACTGTTGGCACCACTAGCCTGCCTGGATATGGAGTGGAGACACAGCCACAATTACAGATGGGACGTGACGCCCCAGTGCCCTCCACAGCGCACATGTGGGGCAGAGAAGGTCAACGTCATCTTGAGGTTTTACCAAACGGGAGGGGCAGGAACAGGAAGTGCCTGTGTTTCTGACTAACACTCAGGGGGGGGGGATGAACAAGGTGGGACGGGGCAGGCAGGGTACAGCTGTAGAGTGACTGGAGAGAGAGGGGGGGGGGTAGAGGGAGAGCGGGAGAGAGAGAGAGAGAGAGAGAGAGAGAGAGAGAGAGAGAGAGAGAGAGAGAGAGAGAGAAAGGCCCTTCCTCGGAGTCAGGGGAAATGAGAGACACATCACTCATGATACCAGGACACGGCCTACAGCTTGCTTCTCAGGAGCCACTTGCTGTGGCTCAGACGTGGTGCTCTGCAGTTTCACGCATTACTACATCTGTCATCACACCCCAAACCACCCGACAACAAAAACACACACAAACAACCTGACAACAGAGACACCATTACCAGCATCTTCCAGGGGCAGACTGACTGTCACAGACTATCCTCACCGACACGCAGCCTCGCCACACTTCCCAGCCCCACCCCAGGTGCCCAAACGCCCAGTTCTCCTCGGTGGGGTGTAGGGGAACTGGTGTTTGTGGGAGGGGTGACACCCTCCCTCCTTTCTCGTCTCCTCTGCCAGCTGGAGGACATCAGCACAACATGACGGCTGCACCCTGACGACAGGACCGACATGGGTCCTTCAGTAACGGTGCGGTCAGCTCCCTGCTGCCCCCATGGGCCTGGCCGAGTGAGAAGAAGAGCTGGAGTCTGTCCGATCCGGAAGCTGGGCTTCACTTACACAAAGACAGGAGATCATGCAACTTCGCTACAGCGCAGAGATGGTGGCTGGCAAGCCAGGCTGAGCCCCAGACAGCTTAGCTCGGACACCTCTGTCCTCCATGAGGTCAGAGGGCTCACAGGTCAAAGGGCTCCGAGGCTTCCAAACCACCAGACAGGCCACCACAAGAAGCTCCCCAGGGAGCCACGGCCATGGTCTCCTAGAGGCCTTCTAGCACAGGGTCTGCCATTGCCACGCCGGCTCCTACCTTGACAGGCGCCTCGGGAGAGATCGGTCCTCACCGCCCACAGCTCCCGCTCCCGCGGGCAGGTCAGCGCGGGTCTGGGCACGGGGCACCCTGTCACGGAGGAGAAAGAGGATGTGAGGATCTGTGAGAGGAAAGAGGCCTCTCCATCTGGTCTGGGACTGCAGGACGGGGACATCCTGGCAGGAAGCTGCCTCCATCCACACAAAAACGCCACGAGACCTGGAAACCCAGGACACAATGCCATCACTGAGACCCAAGGCGAGGCAGCAGAGGGCTGTGTAGACAGCTCCGTTCCCCTTGACCCCGTCACACGGATCCCGTCAGTCTGGTTGCTGCCCAGACCCGTGGGAACCACCCTCCCTCCAGGTGTTTCCTCGTTAATCACAGCGAGTGGGTCTGAGCCACCCATGCACCCACCCCTAGGATGTCAGTTCTCAGGCAACCGAGACCAAGGCCCTGTAGGTGAGGCCTGCATCTCATGAGATTAACACCCCCCTGACGATTCTGGTGTTGACAGAAGGTTGAGAAGTCCTGGTCTCCACCAACCTGCAAGTGGCTAATAGTCTGAGGTAGCAGGTGACCCACACCAGTCACTCCGGGGGTTTTTATTGCCGAATGCCTGAATGAGGGGCTCTGCCGCTCTGCTGTCGGGCAGCATCCTGGACTGTGGGAGGTGAGCGGGGGCCGTGGGAGGTGACTGGGGACTGTGGGAGGTGACTGGGGGCTGTGGGAGGCGAGCAGGGGCTGTGGGAGGTGAGCGGGTGCCATGGGAGGTGAGCGGGTGCCGTGGGAGGTGAGCGGGTGCTGTGGGAGGTGACTCAGGAGGAAGCAAAGGCACTGACAGGGGTTGGCACCCACCAAGACAGGAGCCAGCCCACCGCTGAGCTTCGTTAGCGTGGCAGTGACTTCCTGGAGGGTAAAGATGAGCGAACCTGTCACTGGAGCCAAGCTCAGGTGCAGGGAAAGGACAGGATGTCTAAAGAGAAGCCGGAGAGGCTCCCCTGGCAGGTCCTGACCATAGTCTGGGACCCAGCTGCTGTCACAAAGCACAGGTTCACCGGAGTCTACTGTCAGTGCAGAGCAGTGCTCCGGGGAGGGGCAGAGGAGAGATGAAGGGGAGGAGGCCTTCCTTCGGCTCTGGCAGGGCCGAGACCTCAGGGCCTCTGCATGTGTCAGCTCTTCCACAGGAAAGCTGTTCTCGCCACACCTTGCTCCTCCTCCTGTAACTCTGGGTCTCAGCTCAAGTGTCACTTCCTCCTGATACCACACGTGCGTGCATACACAGACACATACACACAGACGCACACGTTCTGCTTTAACACGCGGCACAACTTCCTGAGGACGTCAGGCACCCCCCAGTTTCAGATGGATTTTCTCGGCTGGAGTTATACAAATGGGACACGGGCCTCCTGCAGCTACTTCCTGTGTCACCTGTGTTCCTCCTCTCTGAATGCTTTTCTCTGCTCTTCCTGGCAACAAACGCTACCATCTTCACCCCAAAGCTTCCTTAACGTGAGGACCAACAAATCAATCATTCTTTTAAAAAACGTTCCCATCTCACAGGGTTCTGACACTGCGGAGCCTGCCCCTCCCAGGGCCGGCTAACTCCTGGCTCAGCACACTTCTCATGGGACACCCAAAGCCACAGCCGCCCACCCCTGTAACTCCCAACCCCAGCCTTCCCGCCTTCGCCAGCCAAGCCCCAGCTTCCACACACCCAGGGCGGCTGGAAGCGCTCCCGCTGGCCACCCCTCAGTCACCTGCCCTGGCTTCCGGTGCTCAGAGACACCGGTCCCCACCAGGCCTCTGGGCCATTGTGGTCTTCCTGCCGATTCCTCACGCAGCTCTGCAGACGGGCAGGGTCCCCTTCCGTTGAGAGCGTAACAAATCCCTCCTTCACCGGCCTCACTTCCCACGCCCCGCCACTGAGTCACCCCGTACACGGAAGCCCGGCAGGGACTGGTGGACACAGGGGAGCATGAACGGTGCTCAGGGGCCTGCGCTGGGACCGTCACTGCTTTTCCTAAAGGTGACCCACTTTTTAATCTCCTCCGATTTCTGCAGAAAAGGAACTGTGGCCCTGGCCGACGCAGCTCAGCTGGCTGAGCACCGCCCCATACAGGGAAAGGTCACTGACTCCATTCCCTGTCAGGGCCCCTGCCCGGCTGTGGGTTTCATCCCTAGTCGCACACATACGTAAGGCAACTGAGCGATGTCTTACTTGGCGTATTGGGATGATGCTCTAAGCAACCAAGGAACCGGCCAGGGCTCCTGGCACTCCTGACGTGTGGGCGGCATCATCCTTTGCTGAGGGCGAGGTCTTGCCCACACAGATGTAACAGGACTCTGCCCACTCGACGCCAGCACCACCCCCACCCCAGCTGCGACCCTCCCAGTGGCCACAGGCACTGCCCCGCATCTCCTGGGGGAGGAACTGCACTCAGGAAAGGCCTTCCTGACACTACAGGAGGGTAAGAGGCGTAGAGACCGGGGCTTAGAACCACACCTGGTGGCAATGAGGGCCGAGGCCTCCCTCCTGGGACCGGCCTGCTCCCCCTCTATGGAGAGCGGCCCGCACTCCCGGCCTGACCACTGGCCTGGGGGGCGCGTGGGTCCACGAGGCTCCCTCAGTCGGGCTGCGAGTGAGAACCTTAGACAGAGGGGAGAGGGCAGGAAGGATGGGCTCAGGTGGCCACTGCTGCCTCCTGGACGCCCGAGAAAGAAGCAGAAACAACAGAAACATGCAGAAAAGCACAGACGAGGACTCTGGGGGGCCACAGAGCAGGGACTGAGGGGCCAGTCCTGCTGCAAACTCGCCGAGGACAGAAGCCATTCTGAACGGCATGACAGGAGCAGACCCAGGAGGCAGGGCACAATCCCGGGGTCCCCAGCTCCCGTTTCAGTCCCTCAGGGCCCGTCCGGTTCGGCACAACGCCCCCATTTCCTTCCACCACGTTCTGGGAGCCAGAGGAGACCCGGAGCCGAGCACGTGACTGCGGCCGGGGAGGAGGAACGAGGGCGCCCGAGGCTTCGTGACCAGCAGCCCGGAGGCAGGCGTGGGACACAGAAGCGGCAGGTCCCCCTCTGGGGGGGGTGGGGGGGGCACTCACCCAGAGACGCCAGGAGCGTGCACGTCTCCAGCATCACCTCCTGGTACAGGGTCCTCTGGGCCACGTCCAGCTGCCCCCACTCCTCCTGGGAGAAGGTCACGGCCACGTCCTCGAAGGTCACAGACGCCTGGAAAGGAAGACACAGGTCGCAGCGACGGCCTTGGGGCTGCTGATGGGATCAGCGACCGTCTCCGTGTCGTGGTCAAGGACAGACGTCCAGGCCCAGAGCACCAGGCGCCTGCTGGGCCGAGCTCTGTGCTCGCTCACGGGGGACGGGACGGCAATGCTGTGGGTGCAACACGGTGGCCGAAGAGAACCCGCCTCTGGGAGGAGCCGACGTAAACCGACACGGACAGTGGAGTGTTACTAGGTGGTGAGGCAGACAGGAGGGCTCCAGGAGAGGGATGAGGAAGTTAGAACATCTGTGATGGTAACCACAGGTGTCCCCGAGCCTCCCCGAGCTGAGGGCTCCACTTCCTGGTCAAAGGGACTCAAAGTTCATCTCCTGTGGTTTGCTCCCAAACTCCTTTTGTAAAAAATTGTCAATATCTTTATTAACTTTTTTTTTTTTTTTAAGAGAAAGGAAGAGAGAGGGAGAGAAAAACATCAAGGTGAGAGTGGATCTTTGCTGCCTCCTGCACACCCCTGACAGCGATGGAGTCCACAACCCAGAAAGTGCTCTCTCCCTCTCCCTTCCTCGACGAAATCAATAACAACAACAACAACAAAAGTTTTTAAAAAAGTAGATTCATGATAAGGAGGCGGTGAAGCATTTACATCCATTTCTAAAAAACTTATTTTTATTGATTTCAGAGAGGAAAGGAGATGAGAAAACATCAGCGATGAGAGGGAATCGTGGGTCGGCTGCCTCCTGCACTCCCCCCACTGGGCATGAGTCCGCAACCTGGGCACGTGCCCTTGATGGGGAATCAAACCCAGGACCCTTCAGTCCACAAGCTCTATCCACTGAGCAACACTGGCCAGGGCTACCCCCATTTTTGCTGTGGAATCTGTTTCTGTCGCCCCTAAAACTCCACCTGTGAGCAGGGACAGCGGACCTCCCAGGAGAAACACCAGTAAGAGCAGCCCCTTACCTGCCCATGTCCCGGCCTGAACCCGCTCCCCACACCTCCTGGGTACACCCCAAGGGACTCCCGGGGAGATCGCACAGCAAAGCATCATCCTCCCCCAAACTGGTGTGGTTCAGTGGATAGAGCGTCGGCCTGCGGACTGAAGGGTCCCGGGTTCGATTCCGGGCAAGGGCATGTACCTTGGTTGCGGGCACATCCCCAGTGGGAGGTGTGCATGAGGCAGCTGATCCATGATGTTTCTAACTCTCTCTCTCTCTCCCTTCCTCTCTGTAAAAAAAAAAAAAAAAAAAAAAAAATCAATAACACACACACATATATACACATACGTACCTATATATACACACATACATATATGTAAAAGCATCATCCTCTTCCCCTTCCTGAACCTCTGACAGCACTGACCCCGGAGGACAGGAGATTCCAGGGGCACAAACCAACAAGGATACACCGGGGTGTGTGGCGGCTGAGGTGGGGGGCACCCCCCCCCCCCCCCCCGCCGCTACGAACCATCACCCACTGGCACCCTCAGCAGCTGCGGGCAAAGCAAACCCCCACACACCCCCCCCCTTAACACCCCCACACACCTCCCCAGGGTCGGGGCGCCTCAGCCTGGAAAGGTCACGTCACCTGCAGGAGGGGGGCAGGCAGGGAGGTTGGGCAGGACGCCGGGGGGTTGGTGTTTATTTTATTATTATTATTTTTATTTTTTGGGGGGGGTTGGGGTTTACGACGGCATGGTCCCTTCTTCCGTCAGGGGACCCGCTCCCCGCCACGCCCCGGGTCTCCCCCCGATTCCCAGGAGACCCCGCCACAAAGCGTTCGCCCCGTCTCCTCCCCGAACCCCGACAGGACTGACTCCCCCTCAGGCCAGGCTGTGCCAGGAGCGCAAACCGCGGAGGATATACAACCGGGGCTCAGCGACCCGCTGTCAGGGGCCCCCACCCCGTCGGTTCCGAAATCCCCGTCCACTCACCTGCGCGGGGCGGGTCGGGGCCGCCTCCGCCGCCGCCGCCGCCGCCGCCATCGTGCGAGCCTGCGCTTCGAGCGACGCGGGGACGGCGAGCACCCGGCGACCGCGGGGGTGAAGGGCGGGCGCACAGGCTCCTGGGAGGCGAAGGGTCTGCTGGGTAACAGGCCAAGCGCCGGTGGCGGGGAGCCACCGCGCGGACCCCGGCGCCGGGTGAGGCCTGTCCGCCGCCCCGCCCCCGCCCCGGAAGCCGCCGCCGCCGCCGACGAGCCGGACGAGAAGCGCCGACCCCGCGCTCGGCCTGTCAGGCCCCGCGGGACCCCCACCACTGAGGCAAATGGCGACGGCGGAGAAAAACCCGGAAGTCCCGCCCCGCGTACAGAAGCTTCCGGAAATGCTTCCCTCTATCCCGGGCCATCATTGGCCAGCGTCCGCGTCAGGCTCATGAAACAAGGCCTTCTGGGTAACGTAGTTCCCCTCGCACTCCCTCTAGCCCACGACGCGAGGAGCGCCGTAACCGGGACGTCGTTCTGCGAGTCAGAGGCGCGCCGGCCACCGAAGCTGAGGGGGAAATGGAGGCCCTGGAGGAAATGGAGGCCCCAGGTCCGGACAGGTGTAAGGGCGCGGGGCTGGTCCCCGGGCTCATCTGGCGCCTTCCCCATCCCCGCTGCCTCCTCCCCTGATTCGCGCCGGGAGAGACAGCGACGGAAAACGTAACGGAAAACCCTCCTGAGGAGGGCACCGGAAGTCCCGCCTCCATTCCTCGCCCCTGGCGCACCTCCCGCGCTCCACTGCTGCCGCGCCCCGGATTCGTCGGTACCAGAGCCAACGGAACCGCCGCGCCCCGGATTCGTCGGTACCAGAGCCAACGGAACCGTGCCCGAACTGCCGAACCACGCCCTTCAGGTGACGCCGAACTTAGGAACCACGCCCTTCAGGCGACTCCCGAACCTCCGAACCACGCCCTTCGGGTGACCTGGGAACTTCCGAACTTTGCCCTTCAGGTGACACCCCAACTCCCGAACCACCACTCCCTTCAGGTGACGCCCCAACTTCGGAACCGCGCCCTTCAGGTGCCGCCCTGACGCCCGAACTTCCGAACCGCGCCCTTCAGGTGACGCCCGATCCACGCCGTTGGGCCCAAGTCACTGGAGGGATGGATTTGCCCTCCGCCGAGGCCGGGAGGCCCGAGGGGAGGAGGTCTGGTGAGACCAGGCCTCCCGCCTCCAGCGCGGCCCATTCGGAGTCTCTGAGGCCACCGCGTCTGCCCGCGTTGCAGATGGTAAGCACATCTACACAATCCCTTCAGCACAACACCCAGTTTAGGGTTTGACCCAATAACTGAATTCCACCCTAGACCCAACGGTGGTCCGTGAGGTCCGAAAGGTTGGCGACTGCTGACCTAGACAAGTTTACTTGTAAAACTATCCATCATACTCCACTCCTTGTCAGCTTGGCAGCCATACGCAGATCCTTAAACCATACTTTATCTCAAAAAAAAAAAAAAAAAAAAAAGCCCGGCCAGCGTGGCTCAGTGGTTGAGCTTCTTTCACCTAGGAACCAGGAGGTCACGGTTCGATTCCCGGCCAGGGCACAGGCCGGGTTACAGGCCCCATCCCCCAGTGGGGGGCATGCAGGAGGCAGTTCTCTCCCTCTCCTTTTCTCTCTCTGAAATCAATAAAAATACATATTTAAAAAAAAAGGATATACTTTTGTCTAACCAGATCAAATCTGGTATTGATCCATTGTTACAATGGATTCTATTACACATGATGGGTAATGTAGTATGATCCACTTGGATGTATTAACTTAATATTAAATTACCATATTGAGCCCTGACCAGTTTGGCCCAGTGGGCAGAGTGTCAGGCTGTGGACTGAAAGGTCCCTATCGAGGGCATGTACCTTGGTTGTGGGCTTGATTCCCAGCGGGGGGGGGGGCATGCAGAAGGCAGCTGATCAATGTTTCATTGATGTTTCTGACTATCCCTCTCTCTTTCTCTCTGTAAAAAATCAATAAAAATATTTTAAAAGTTACCATATTGGAATGCCATGGGTGCCCCTTGTGGCTAACAAAGAAATGTGATTAGGGCTTATACCTTTTTAAAAATATATATTTTTATTGATTCCAGAGAGGAAGGTAGAGGGAGAGAGAGAAACATCCATTATGAGAAAGAGTCATTGATCGGCTGCCTCCTGCACACCTCATACTGGGGATAGAGTCCACAATCGAGGCATGTGCTCTTGACTGGAATCAAACCCGGGACCCTTTGGTCCACAGGTCAATCCTCTAGGGCAATTTATTGATTGATTTTGGAGAGAGAAATTGATTTGTTCCTCTTTTTAAAAAAATACATTTTATTGATTTTTTACAGAGAGGAAGAGAGAGGGATAGAGAGTTAGAAACATCGATAAGAGAATCATCGAGCAACTGCCTCGTGCACACCCCCTACTGGGGATGCGCCCGCAACCAAGGTACATGCCCTTGACCGGAATCGAACCCAGGACCTTTCAGTCCGCAGGCTGATGCACTATCCACTGAGCCAAACCGGTTTCGGCTGATTTGTTCCTCTTATTCATGCCCTCATTGGTTGCCTCTTGTACGAGCACTCACCGGGGATGGAACCCACAGCCTGGTGTATGCTGACGATGCTCCGACCTCCGGAGCTCCCTGGGCAGGGCTCATTCAAGATCTTCTGAGTCTGTAAACTGCCTCCAGCCGGGGCATTGGTTTCCACACCGTGACTGTCTGTTTCTATGATCTGGGCCAGGTTTTGTTCGCTTAAACCCAGAACGTTCTGTTAATACAGATCCAGTGAGCGCTGAGTAGGCTGCTTACATATTTTGCTTCCAGGAACACCGTGATGAACCAGCCGATGCCGTAGGTCAGCCACCTCAAGCTGTTCTGGTTGCTGCCTTGGCTGTTGACACCTGTGGTTGACCACAGCTACCTTCCTTTCGGCAATGGAGGGCCGCACCTGGCTCCCTGCGGGGGTGAGTAGGTCCTTTTTTCCCTTTAAAAAATTTTATTGAGTTTGTTGTTGTGATGTTGGTTAATAAAATTACATAGGTTTCAGGTATACAGTTCTGATTTTATGTTTGTTTACATATTTTTAAATTTTATTTATTATTGTTTGAAGTATTACAAATGGCAGTGCACATGTCTCCTTTCCTCCCATTAGTTCTACAACACATCGTCTGTACATTGTCTTGTGTGTTCATGACCCCAAGTCTAGTCTCGTTCCATCGCCATCTATCGGCCCTTTATCCTCTCCCACCTCCCCTCGCCCCGCTGTATCATAATGCTGTTGTCTAGGTCTATGAGGCTGTTTGTGGGTTTGTGTTTTGTTTTTTCCACTCAGCCCCACAGTGAATAGGTCTTAAATGCCAAACCCGTTGTAACACTCGAATCTCCCTAAGCCTCCGAATCCCTCCTCCACATCAAACCAAGAGAGGTTGGGCACTTCCCTTTCGCTCACCTTTCGGTCTCTGGTTCAGCCAACCACCCTGTCACAGCCCTTCCTGCACCCCGAGCTGCCACATGAGATGCAGAATCTCTGCTCTGGGAGTCCCTGTCCTTACATTCAGCCTGATTCGACTTGTCATCCCTTCCCCCCGTCCCCACCTCCTCTAGTCTCTCTTCTTCAGAGAAACTCGAGCAGTTCTTTTTTTAAATATATATTTTATTGATTTTTTACAGAGAGGAAGGGAGAGGGATAGAGAGTTAGAAACATGGATGAGAGAGAAACATCCATCAGCTGCCTCCTGCACACTCCCCACTGGGGATGTGCCCGCAACCAAGGTACATGCCCTTGACCAAAATCGAACCTGGGACCCTTGAGTCTGCAGGCCGATGCTCCATCCACTGAGCCACACCGGTCAAGGCAACAGTGTACCTATATATATAGTTTTAAGTTTTAAAAATTTGGATCTCAAAAGAAATTTCAATTGTTGTACTGTTGATATTTGGCTCTGTTAACTAATGAGTTTGCTGACCACTGCCCTAGGCCCTTCCGTGTTTCGCTGTCTTCAGTTGTTTTTTTTAAGTGTAAGATCCTTCTTTATATATTCACTAGTGGCCTGGTGCGTGAAAATTTGTGCACTCAGGAGAGGAGGGGTCCCTCATCCCGGCCTGCTCTCTCACAGTCGGGGACCCCTTGGGGGGATGTCCACCTGCCAGCTTAGGCCCATTCCCCGTGAGATCAGGCCTAAGGTGGCATTCAGACATCCCTCTGGCAGCCTGGGAGCACTCAGGGAATGTCCTCTGCCAACTTAGGCCACGGCCGGACATCCAAGGAGGTGGCAGAGGCTCCCACCATCACCACTGCGCTCAAAGCCGTCAGCCCGGCTTGTGGCCGAGCAGAGCTCCCCTGTAGAAGTGCACTGATCACCAGGGGGCAGCTCTTGCATTAAGCGTCTGCCCTCTGATGGTCAGTGCACATCATAGCGACCGGTTGTTTCCAGTTGTTTTGCCATTAGGGTCAATTTGCACATTACCCTTTTATTATATAGGATTTTTAAATTGACTTCAGAGAGGGAGAGGGAGAGAGAGAGAGAAACATCAGCGATGGAGGGAACCACCCATTGGTTGCCTCCTGCACGCCCCACACTGGGGATGGAGCCTGCAACCTGGGCATGTGCCCTGACCGGGAATCAGACTCTGATCTCCTGGTTCATAGCTCAACCCCTGAGCCACACCGGCTGGGTTTACTGTCCTCAGCTTCAATAAACGTACGCTAAAATTAAAAAAAGAAGAGAAAAGGAGCCCTATTGCGTCCTTCTTAGATTCTGTCATTTCTGTCTAAGAAATGAAGGTGTTGCCCTGGCCGATTCAGCTCAGTGGGCCGAGGACTGCAGGGTCCCGGGTTCGATTCCAGCCAAAGACACGTACCTTGGCCGCAGGCTCGACCCCTAGCCCTGGACAGTGTGAGTGCGAGAGGCAACCAATCGGTAGGTCCCTCTCAGATCGATGTTTCTCTCTCTGTCTCTCCTCCTCCCTTCCACTCTCTAAAAAAAACAAAAACAATGGGAAGATATTGTGTGGCCTGGTGGGTAAGCGTCGCCCCAACCACCAAGAGGTTACTTCCATTGATTCCCAGTCAGGGCACTTGCCCAGGTTGCGGGTTCAATCCCCAGGAGCGGGCGCGCAGGAGGCAGCTGATTGCTGTTTCTCTCATCAGTGATTCTCTCTCTGGCCTTCCCCTCCCTCTGTGGGAAAACAAAGGGCTCAGGTGAGCATTAACAGCTACAGATTGGTGGGATGAGGAGAGGGGGATGTGTAGGATCACTGATTATCCCGGACCAGGGAGGGCCTGGGGTATAA